CTCTTAAAGGTGCATATGGAGGGGGTGTATCAGTCTGTCTAGTTCTGTTTTCTGGAGCATTTACGTTTTATGAAATCAGAAGTACTAAAAGACAATTATAATTTACAAAGTTAAAATGGATTGATCTGCTTCCCCAAACAAATTCCTTCCTGTTGTACTCCTTGCAAAATTGTAATGTTGCCCTTTGCTCATCAATTCCAGAAAAAGGCATATAAAGTCATTTAGAAGTGGGCTGTGCACCTGTACCCAAAAGGACAACTCAGGTTGTTGAGTAGATACTAACATGAGTACAACCATCACAGCTTGAGTCCTGGCTTATCAGCAAAATCACAGTGATTTTGTGGCACAACGATCTTGAATAATACCTATTTGTCAAAAAACAAAAGCAGAAAAATATTTCTTATTTGCTGAAGTGTCTCGAATTTAAAGGAATTGAAGCCTCCTTTTTTTAAAGTTATTTGGTCAAAATAAATACACAACATTCTGTAGTAATCAAAATTATTTATTTCCCACCACCACTTTTTTTCCCTTCTACCCATCTGTCAATACTGTTTCTTTGTTTTAATATTTTAGATTGTACTAGATAACATACAACTTTAGATTTCTTTTTTTTTTAGGATCCCCTTTTGTCCTTAATTAGAATATTAAAATCACCAAAACTCTCACAGGTCAGAGAAATTGTTCAATTAGCAATCAGAATCACTGGAATGTAGCTTGGGGAATCAGAAAGGAATACTCCTGCTGACAGTCTGTTTTCTGGCAGTCGTCTGTGAAACTTTCATTAATGATGTTCATTGCTCTCTCTACATTACATCCGTGCCTTGAAAATATCTTTAATGCTTTAAAGATACTGGGAAAATTCTACTACATGCAATATCCACTGACATGGAGCACACCACTTCAGTGTGACAAATGATTAGAAAAGATAACTACCAGTCTGTTCAGCTGATATTCAGATGTGAAATAAACTCATGTCATTCTAAAACAGGGTCAAGTTATTTCAGTCATAGTGAACAATTGTTCACTCTCATATGCACTGTGTTTTTTATTATATCCTCCTTTAGGCATCTTGTAAGTGAAGGACTGATATTTCAATTCTATTGCTTTCAGAGGGCTAAAGCTATTATTTAGTTTTCTGTGTTTATTTCTTGTATGGCATTTCTTTTGGGTTTTTTAAAATTTGTATTACTGAAATGCTTAAACTGCACTGCTATGCTAAAAATACAAAAATTGTGGGTAATACAGTGAAAAATCTAAATGAAATGTGACTGAACATAATGTATTTAAGAACTAAACCAACTTCGTAATCAGTATGGAAGTACTTCTTCAGTAGATGCCAAACTTCTCAGAGAACAAAACACTCAGTGGAGGTGTGCATTTGGCAGAAGTTACAAGTAAAGAAAAAAATATAATCTACTCTGTAGTTCTCAAAGATTTTGTGCAGCATGGGAAATGGGCAGACAGATAAAATGAGTGACTGTTCCCTCCTGTGAGCAAACAGCCAGGCTCGCTAATGTAAGTTTTGCTTTTAGTTATGTCAGCAAGAAATTATTTTAGCAAGAACTTTGAATTTAAAAACACAATACTCATAGCTAAAACGGCTATTTAAGATAAAGCTCAAGGAAAAAAATAAGTCGTGGGCTTTTTATCTTCCCATACAGAATCTTTGAGAAGCTGTTATACCTGGCCAGATATATGTATGCATATATATATGTATATATATAAAATATATGTATTTTATATACATATATTTCTCTTTTTGCCAGTAGTAAAATATATCTGGAAGAAAAGAGGTTATGGACATACTGATCTACTGCAGCCAAGGGATCTACAAGGATGCCTGGGTTCCACAAGACAAGTATGTGTGCACAGTGACTATTACCCAATATTTCCAATGTCCAGTAATTTCTAGGGCCAGCAAGAAGACTTTTCAAATTTCCTTTCTCCTGTCCTCTCTCTCCTAAGCTCTGCAGGCAGGAGCCCCCTCCCTTCCCTCCCTTCCTCCTATCTCTTCCCATCTGCTGCCCCTGAGCACACTCGTGCTGGCAGGGACTCATGGGCAGAACCAAGGAGCTGAAGTCATTCAGCATAATGTGCTACACAGACCCTTCCAAGGCAATTACTAGCATTTTCCACCGTGAAAAAATGTTGTGCAGAAGGGATTGATGCTGCTATGGTTCTCTTTTGATGCCTGTAAGACAGATCAGGACACATCTCCTGCATCATTAAATCCAACTCCTCCTTGCTGCAGGGACTATGTAGTTTATTTGTTCCATTTGAGTGTGTGTGCTTTGTTCCATTCAAGCTAAGTGGTGACCAAGGGAATTGCTTCCCTGGACACAAGAGATGCTACTGTAATACCTGAATTACATGGAATTATCTTTGTGCATCTATCTCAGATGATGTTATCATTTCAGCCAGCAAATGTACTTGTTATTGTGGTCAGCAGGCTTCACTCACATGAAATCATGAATATTTTGTGGGTTTTATAAAATAAAACCGTAATAACACAGCTCAAAAAGTGTGCACTCTTATTGGAAACCACATTGTACAGGAACTGCTTCTTCTCATAATTACATATTTGGCAGCAGAGGGTGAGGGGGTGAAGAAAAGCTATTTTCCCATCTGCAGAAAATCCTGACAGCCTCTTAAAAACAACAGTAATGAGGGAGAGAAAAAGAATTTGTGAAGGCTTTAGATATTAATTTCACATAAATATGCCAAACACAAAACCTTCTTTGATTTACTTCTGTTTGCAAGGGAGGAGGCTTTGCACAGTTCACAGGAACTCCTCACAAAATACAAGGATCTCAGGGCATGTAGCTCTCACAGAATATTTTAAGAAAGAAATTCTTAGCTGATGCTTTATTTCACAATATTGACCCCATTCCAACTCTAGACAAAGGCAGAAAATGAAGAACCAAAAAATGGATCAAAGTTTACTGAACCAATAACTCCAATAACTAGAGCCCAGCTAGCTCACTTCATCCTAAGTATATTCCTCTTTGCCATGGAGCCCTGAATATGGGCTCAGGGAAGTTTGGAAAGGAAATAAGTGATAACTGTTGTCAGCTCTGGACAACAGCAGAAGGAAGGAAGGAAAGCTTTTTAAGAGCTCTGTCCCAGGAGCCAGACATGAAGAACAAAGCTCTGCCTTCAGCTCAGCCCCTCACCCTACAGCATTACAGCAATTTCAGGGTAAGCAGTTTGCATGTTTTGCACTTTACAAAATCTGTATCCTCTTGTCCAGGGGAGAGCATGGTGTGGCAGTCACCAGCACCTGAATAAGTGGAAACTTCCAGCCATAGGAGAAAGCTTGAGGCCTTTGAAGAGTCTTTGCTCTGTAAAGTGGCTCCTGCAATCTGCCTTGCAGTCCTATCTGCTGGTATGTACAATTATAAGCCTTCAGCTGAAGATCTATATTATAATAATCTGCAAGGCAAGATACCGAGTGCATATGTTTATCTGTAAATGTCTCCATTCAGAGACAGAAATTATCTTTATAACTTTACATGTACTGTAAATTTTCTGTAACTTCCATGAAGTATTAAAACATGCTTATGTAAAATAGAGCACATGGATGTCTTTGGTCTCCAGAAGTATTAATCTCTCCTACTTATGTTACTTGATGCTTAATAAACAAAATATTTATTCTAACACCCAAATAATTCTGGCTAAAAAAAATCTCAGGACACCTTGTCACTGAAGATAGTTTTGAGACTTGTGGTTGCTGGATGCCATGAAATGTGTACACAGGGACATCATAAGGTAAGACTGTTCCTTAGGTCAATAATTTGAAACAGACACTATTTGAAATAAGCAAAACTTCTCAGAAGAAGAAAGGTAAGTATTGCTTATCATGTTCTCAGGTTGCTTTTTGATTGATATTTCAGGTTAGGAATAAATTGATCTGTAAAAAATAAATTAAACTGCATAAACTCGATAAATTGAACTGTAGTAAATCAGCTCAAACATAAGCAGAACATGCTGTGATACTCCATCCATACTCCATCTACAACATCTTGGACTACTCCTGGAATGGTCTGTGGACTGAATGAAAGCACAGATGCTTTGCCACCATCACTTAGATGTAATCATGGCTTCCTACCTCCAGTCATTATGCAGTTCTACTTCTGTTTTTTATTGACTCTCAAAGACTTTGCTCTATTTAGCCAAACTACATATGATTAAACCCACGTTTTAAATGGGGTATCCACAAACTTGAGTGTGGGGTTTTTACTTGAGTTTTCTGATACCAAGTTTGAAAAACATCTTTCTTTATGTGTAAAGCTTCACTTCTCCTAATTTGCATGTTTGGTATTTAGCAGTCTGAAAGAGGATTGCTTTGTTCTAGCTTTTAATTTTTTCCAGGCATTTGAAAGCAATCTGCTAGACACAGCACAAATTAATAGCCAGTAGAAAGTGCAGCTTCAAGAGTGGCCTGTTAGTTGGGAAAAAGTCTTTGATCTCACTAAGTTCACCAGCCCTGCTGTCTGGGGCCTGAGGATGTAAACAGGACAGTGCTTTTCCTAAGGACCAAATCTCATATTCCACCAAAGTCTTACTGAAGGTCTTGGGTGCAGAGGAGCAACAGAGGCAGGTGGGTACTCAGTGTGGGCGGCTCAAGGTGAAAAAGCTACAGGAAAACTTTAGAAATGCTTTAGAGGAATAACTGAGGAATAGATCAACCTGTTGGGTGACACCATCCTCCTGCTTCTGAAGGACACAGCTTGTGTAGCCTCTGCCCCTCAGACTCTGAGCAAGAGCTAAAAACATTCTAAGGGATTGCAGTTGCAGCTCTAGATGGCTAAATTCAACTGTACTGTATCAGTGTAACTGGAAACGTGTTCCACTCTGGATTTTATCCACATCAGCTACTGCCACATAACAAATTATTACTCCTCTGTTTCAGCTTGGTGTAAACAGAGAAGAACAATATAAAACATCTAAAGAAACATCAGAAAATAACAAGAGAATAAAAAGCACCTCTTAAATTGATTGTACAAACAAGTTTTATTGTTACAAGAAAAAAAAACCAAACAAACCAAACACCCCCCCACCTCACAGCAGGGTTCCCAAATTCAGTTGCTGTGTCATTTTAAATTGAATACTGAACTTCTGATTTTTGCACTTCAAAACTTCAAAACTTCTTGATTACTTTAGCTCAGCCTGAAGGAGTCAACTTTATTGTAACTCAAGGCACAGCACCAAAATGCAGGACCAGCCTGACATCCAGTCAGGGTAATTCTGTGAATTAATCAGGATCTCAGGATTCCCAGAGATTTTGAGCACATTGGCTGAGCAACTGATTAGGGCTATGCTACAAATGAGTAAGACTATATATCATACAGCTTCCCAGACAGCACATGATGTATTCTGCCTCAGGAAATTCGGTGTGCATATTACTTCATAGCTTGGATTCAAGTTGCTCACAGAAGTGACCTCCATGTTCTGGAATTATTTGAGAAGTTTGTTGTGCTCAGTAAGCATCTTGTTTTACTATCATGGTGAAATTCAAGCATATGAGCATATTATTCTCAGAATCATCAGAGAATCCTTGTACAATAATACTGTAATTGCCCTAAAACAAGCAAAAAAAAAAAAAAAAAAGACAATTAGTGCACACAATACCGCCTGCTCTTGTTTAAGTGGCTTCTTGGAGTGGTTCTGGTGATTTCTGTTAGAAAAAGACAGATTCCCATCAGGGACTGTTCTCATGGGTATAGCCAGGTATACAAGTGCATAAAAATAAAACAGTGTTCAACTTTCTTCTCATGGCTGGAGTACTCAGGAACAGCATTTCCTGGTCTAGCAGAGTCTCAAAGGGTTTCAGGTCTACTGTAAGTTCTTCATCTAGCAGCTCATGGCAGAGATGTTCCTGTCCATTACTAGCTCTGGGGCTACAAGTGGTGTTGGACTGGCTGGAGTCCAACACTGTTGGAAGCCCATGAACTAAGGGGGATGGTGGAGATTTTGGACCAGTAGGAGCTCCTTAGTGACATTTTTAGGGATTAATAGGGATGATAAGAGTCTTGGAAAAGCTCAGACAACTGATGAGGCAGTTGTTGGATGAGAATGTCTTAACCTGAGGACTGGTGCTGCCCCTGGTTTAACAATGGAGCACTGCTTTTACTTTTTGGATTTTGTAATCCCTCTTCAAATCTTTGAAAACGGTTTCATGGAGTAAGAGAGCAGTGTGTGAAGAGAATGCAAAATAAAGAATGAAATGGGCAGAAAGAATATGAATTGATTTACTCAAACAGGTAAAAGGAAAGAAAATAATTTACCAAACAAAATGGAATAATTAAAGTGACGTTAACTGATTACTTTGTTTTTTTCTTTTATAAAATAAAGGAGAAATGATAGAGGAATAATAACCTTAGAACATCTTGCATTTCAGAGATGCTACCATTTTAGTGTCATCACTTCTATTATAAGAAAGTTTTCTGACGTTTCCTCTTCTGTTTTCTACAGTCTGGGGGAACATCTCTCTTCAGAAAAAATATACCTGTAAGTATGTGATTTCCCTATTATTATTATTTCTTTATACAAAATGTTGAAAAGTACCTTTGGAAAATTTATTCTTGAGCCTTTAATGTCAAATGCTGATACAAGTGTTTCTGAAAAACAGAGATAATTATACAAAGAGTTACTTAACCATAAAGCCATCAATCAGACTGCCTAAATAACTTCAAAGCAATATGGCCTATCTCTCAGCAGCAGTTGCCAATGTCATTTACTCTTTCACTGATAAAGCCCTCACCTGGTTCTTCTCTCAGAGCTCTGACTATTTGTTGAAACCACATTAGAAAATAGAAATTAACCACAGTGCTCCTGCAACATCTCCTACAGACACATATTACTATGATAACTCCAGTAATTTAATTTGTAATAGTAGTTCACTTGAATGGTAACTGAAGAGAGCTGATACTGATTTTTCAAGAAAGGAAAACTGTATTTTGACCTCCTTACAGTTCTTTTTGGCCTTCAGTCTGTCTTCCTGTCTGAATTCTCTGAATCTGAGCCTATGTCGTGTTAAAACTCGTTAGCCCCTACCAAAGGATTGACTCTTTTCTATTAAAAAAAAAGACCCACCATCATACCTGGGTGTAGAAAATCCATCCAGACACATATCTAAATAAACTTTGTTCTGGATATTAGTAGTGCCCACAGCACCTCTCAAGTTTCCTGTTCAGTCTAGAAAATTCCATGTCATTTTAGAGATGTTAACCATAAGTGTCCTAACGAGAGGAATTATATTAATAATCCTCATTTATGGAGATGGAAACTGCAGTACAAGGATGATAAAATATAGAATTTGAGCATTTTCTACTTAAATGGGGTTCTGGCAATGGAGAACTGCCTGCTCCGAGGTCTGCTGCCTGCCAAGCAAGGTCTAGATTGTGGAGATTAAAATCTGTTTGCATGGATTGATTGCACCATGTATTTTCACACCAACCTCCTTTCAGTGTTCCACACACTGAGTATTTATCATCAGCTCCACTGCAAAGGAGTTCTTTCCAGGTGAGTGATCTGGCCCCATCATACCAGACTTTGAAGACAATCTTCAAAAAGTGGATATCATTTCCTAATTAAAACATTGCAAGTAAGAAAATGATAACTGGTGGGGAGGAAAAGCGTATATGGAGACATGCTGTTTAGATAAAAACTAGATTATGTCAAAATACTGTATTTTTGTAAGACTCACCCAAATCTTAAAAGGTATATATCTTGAAAACTGCTACTTCGAGAAAAAGAAGAAAAAAAGCTATTGTCGTTTTTAACAACAACGACAAAATTAGTCTTAGAAAATATTTGGGAGAACAATTTCAAAGTCTGTTTTAATTTCTTCAGTAAAGAAAACAGAGTACACTCAGCTCCACAGCTAACCTAAACAGGTGCTCAAATGAAGACCTTAGTTTTAAGCAGGTGTTGCAAACAAACTATCATGAATACATCATAAAGATGTCTTTCTAGGGAAGCAAACCTAGTGCAGAAGGTGAAGTTTATGATATAGCCAGGTCCTAAACACTTTATTAGCTGACCTTGCTGGCTTAAAGCTGGATTTAAAGATCAGAGTTAGGTTTGCACACAAAATCCAGTACTATTTACAGCTTTTGGAATATGCATATTCTTTGTAGAAGTCCTGCCATAGTTGGATGGCTGATGATACTCTCTCTCCTTCAAAAGACTTGGATCTTCCCCAGGCCAGAAGACCAAAATGCACATACACCTAAACTGTCACATGTTTGCATGTACAGTGACAGTCCATGTGCAGGGCTCTGGTAACTGCTCCAAGTAAAACCTCAAACACATTTTCACAAATCATCATTTCAGTCCATAGCTATAGTTTATCCATTCCATTTTTAATCCCAGAAACTAATTTCCTAAATCACTTGGCATTTAGAATAAGTGTCAGTTTTTCAACTGTATTTCATTTTCAGCATTTCCAGAATATAACTGTCTAGTGAAGAGAGACTCACTTGGAATCCAGGTAAGAGCAGCCTTCCAGTCATATTTGTTCATCGTGCTGCAAGGTGTCAGATTAAACGTGAAAGCATGAGCTATAGAATCTACAAAAAATAAAAAGGCATTTCACATTGATAGTGTGAATAGGCTTCTCCATAAAAATAGAGAAAATATAGTTAAACACACAAAAACCACATACATATTTTAAATGTATTGAATATAAGGTATATGCTATAAAATCATTCAATACGTGTGGTAAATGTTAAATATGTATTTTAAATTATATTATAAATTATTTTTGCATTTAGAGGGCAAAACCAGTATCATATTTCTTTAAATAAAAAGGGAAGTCAATTTTTGGTTGATGATATTTTGCACACACAAAAACCAGACAAAAGTACCTTTATTTCTCTTTTGAAGATATACAAACTTTTTATTAGCACTAAACCAGCATGGTCTTCTGCTGAAAATATCCCTACTTATGCTAATCATGCTGACAACAGCTAAAAATGTTTTTAATGCACCAGCATATTTTCCAGGATAATGTAAATGAACCTGTGAGTAGATTTGCTCTGAGTGACCCACCTTGCATTTTTAAAATACACAAAATATCAGCCCATGACACAGACACGGCAAGAAGTGACACACTGTGCTGTCTCAGAGGCTTATTGGTACCCCAGCCTGACAAAATATCACATTCTCTGTTTTTTTCCAAATGCTTCAAGCTTTTCATTATAACATACTTGTTAACTCAATAAGCATAATTTCCTCAACAGAGTATTTGTGAAACAAGTTGAAATCCATTATCTTCTAATATTTCCTGAACGAAAACATGCCTACTTTACTTGAGAATAAAATTCTCTCTCTCCTAGCACTGTGTTAAGATTTACGTCTATGAAGTAACGGATTATTAATAACAGAAATACACTTTTTATTTTTCTGTATTCCTCAAAGAAACAAATTTGAAAGAAAATTCACAATCCCTCAGAATACAGTAATTATCCTGCAAATTTAACAAAAGGATTACCTATTTTTTACTTACCACAAAAGGTATATGACATATCAAGATCTGATGAGGTACAAATGAATTCACTGACTCCAGGGGTGAATAAAATGAAAAAAAAGAGTCCAAACATAGTTACTTTTTTTTGCTCAGTATTCGACAGTATAAAACGTCGTTTGGGAGAAAGAGGAAGAAAATTCAGCACAGTCACTGTCAGTCACATGTCTTCAGGGAAAGTTCTGTTATTTATCAAATTCTCTGCAATCTTTGTTAATCCTACTGCAGCACTGTCAGTCATCATCACACTAAATTTTGTTATGAAAAAGAATTCCTGCTTTTGTTGTTACATTTTCCCCAGACAATGCAGCTCAAACCAAGAGTGAAAAATGAAAGAGAAAACTGTGTGAAATGGGGAAGTGAAATGACATTATGACTACCAGAAGCACATAAAGAGCAAGTTTAGTTGACTCATCAGGTGTAAGATTTTTAAAGGCATAATTTCAAACACAGAGTTTCCTGTACATATCAAAGAAGAGAAAGAGAAAGAGAATGAGAAAAGAGAAGAGAAGAGGAGAGAAGAGAAGAGAAGAGAAGAGAAGAGAAGAGAAGAGAAGAGAAGAGAAGAGAAGAGAAGAGAAGAGAAGAGAAGAAAGAGGAGAAGAGAAAAATCCACAACTGATGAAAACCAAGTCCATTCTTTTATTTTTATGGTAGTCAGCACCTCTCACTGGTTTTCATGATAAATTTCTTACAAAGCTCACTATGCTTTAAGAACACACCAGAAATATGGAGGAATGTAATTAGATGATGTATTTCAAATGGAGCTGAATGCCACCATCTGATATTATTGAGTAGAATCACTCATGTCCTGCATGATGCCAGACACCATGTCCAAAGCTGTGTCTATCACAGTTACACTTCCTAGTGGGAACAAAGTCAAAAATCAATAAAATTACACCTGATAATTCCCATATCAGACCTCCAGAGTCTCTCTGCCACCTTCTCCCAGACTCTTCCCCACAGTCTCTGCTGGAGAAGCAGCACTGCATGGTTTGCCTGGAGCACAGAGCCATGCACAGCCCTGGAGCCAGGGGGACACCAGACATTACTGGCAAAGGCTGTCCTCTTTTGACTGACATGTTTCTGTAAGAACACAGAATCTCTGTCACAACTGAAGGTACCTTACAACCTGATTTTATCCTGTGACACTGAAAACACTTCAGGTCACGTATCTTGATACTCAAGTTTGAAACACCAAAACAAAGATCTCCTAAAGCACTTTTGGTATTAGATACATGCCATTCTTTCTGTCTGTTAGTGAATTACACAAAGAATAACATATTTGCCTGTGTTGGCTATATCAGTCCTGTGGACTAAACAGGATCAGCTCTTACTGCACAAACCCAGTAGTACTAACCACCTAGTCCCAGCTAGTCCCAGCTACAGGAACAGATCAAATTAAGCCCAAAAACTCATCCAAGAGAACACAATCCCCTCAAACAGAGAGGAAACACAACCAAATTTTTTTCCTCACTATAATAAAATATGGAAATCTACTGAATTTAATGGAAGAATGACTTACAGAAATTAAGCAAATAATTTTCTCACAAGTTATCTTCTTGGTTTGTGTATATGTCTGCTTACTTCTCTTAGATCAGAAACCGTACTTATTTTTAAGAAAAAGAAGGAATACATAAAATAGCAGGTATTTATTTCCTGGTAAGCAGGAAACTCAATAAAAATTACAACAAATATAACTTAATCAATTGTTCTGACTCTCTCCATTCCCCCTCACAATGCTTAAATTTTTTATTTTCACAAATTCAGTGCATAGCAGGGTAATATTTTACGTATTATAAAGGTAAAGTAGCAAAAGATTAAGAAATTGTTTTCAGAAGTCAGAACATGTAAAACAAAAGATAATTTAGGATTAACAATGTGCACCCAAACCATAACTGATTGCGCCCAGAGATGGGGATAGTTCCCAGGTTAATTAAGGAAGGTGAAAATTGAATTAAAGGTGCCTGAAAGTACCTGTATTACATGTAATAATTCGAAAAATAAGATAAAAATTCAAGAACTTATTGCAGCTAGAGAATTCTCTTCAGTATTTCCAAATCTTTCTATAGACCACAAGAAGGGTCCCACTGGCCTGATGGAGTTCAAAATTTTAAGAATTTTTCAGTATTTGGCTTTTAAATGGGAATTCAAAATTATTAACTTTCCTGGCAGCTCTCCAGAGTACATACATCACACAGAGATTTTTACTGTTGTTTAACGAGATGCTACAAAACATATAAGCTGTTTGTGATCGTAGCAATAACACAGTTCTGTTTCAAGATCAGCAAATTTTGCTTAAAATTAGTAAGACATGCAGTGAAATTGAAATAAATTAAGAATGTTATAATAGTTGGAAAAAAGAAATGGAGTAGAGGGACAGTCACAAGGGAGCAATGAAGCAGCTACTAAAGAAGAGCTACCTTTTGCATGCAAAAAAAATATTCCTTTCAACCACAAAGCCATGACCAGTGATGCGAAGGAGTTTAATCGGTGAGAGGCCAAGCCAGGCTCTGTGCTGAGTCTTCTTTCAGTCCAATAGGTTTAGCACAAGTCCCAGGTCAGTCTGAAGGGGCAGAAGGTGGCACTGACCACAAGATCTCCCAGCTGAAGGCACGTCCCTCGTGGCCAGACTGGGTCTGGGGCTGCTGCCCAGTGCGTTGGGGGCTGATGCACCCGTGGGCAGAGTGGAAAGAGCACTGCAGATTGACAAGATTTTACATAAAGCTCTCTTAATATAAACGAAGATAAACTCTTTGCTGAATTGACTTTCTAGACCTGGTTAAAGCAGAAGTGTTTTTTTTTCAGATACTCGCTGAAGAAAAGTTATAGATGAGGAATGAGTCCCCCCTGGTGGCTCGGACAGACAGACACATGCAGAAACCTCCTGCTCCTTCCTTATTGCACTTTTACTGCACAAGTCAAGACTATTCCAATGCTTTAAAAAGTCAGCATAAGAAAGCTCAATTTAAAAAGATCTGACTGGCTAAATGGTAAAACAGGAAGTACTACTGATATCGCAGCTAAAGTAAGCTTTATGAGCAGGATTATAAAGCCTACAACCTTGACTGCTGTGCTTGGTCAAATTGTCATTAACTCAAAATAACCTAAATGATTTTAAAATATTTTCAGTAAATTCCATTTTAGATGCTTGTGGCTTTTCATGCCAACAGTGATGCTATTCATAGAAGTGACCTCTTGTGATGATCACTAAAGTCCCAAACTAGTGCACTGGTGGTGTGAAGAGTCTGTTCAGTTCCTTTCAAGTCACTATGAGGATCACTGCAGAAAACTTCATGTTGTAGGTACTTTAATTTTACTAAATCCTCTTTCTTTACTATAACCTTTTTCTTATGTATTCTAATCTGGGAGGAAGGTGAAAAGGAAAGAGACGTAGAAGGAGCTACACAATAATGTTCCTTCACTGAGGTTTTGTAAGTGAAATACTTCATTTATTTCAAAATCCTTTGCAAGTATACTCAGTAGGAACCAGCTCTCATATCCAATTAACAGTACATAAATTCAAGTCTAAAGAATTTAGCACTTCATACCTATGACTTCTAATTTCTTTACATCTGAGATGCTGAGAATAGACGTTTATTCCAAGTTTCCTCACTGATTTGTGGTTAAAGTCCTTAAAATAATTAATGATGTTTTTATCTTCTCTCTCAATGCATCCAAAAAGTGCTTAAACCTACTTGTGATTGATTTTCAAAATAATCACTTTGTATTTGGATTGTTGGCTGCAGAAGAGTATGTTGACCAGATAAGCACTTATAAGTCACTAAAATCTCCCTCAGGAACGATTTGTAATATAAACGATCATAATATCCCATCACAGAAAAATAAATAACAGTACACCAGTATAGCAGGTACTCCTTTTCAAAGTGTTAGTCAAAATTAAAGATTATGTCCTAACTATGTAACAAAATTTCACTTTAATGGAAAACTCTTTTTAAGACATTAACCACATTTATCAAACAAAGAAAGAGGCAATAATAATTTTCCTTGCAGGGCCATTTGTGAGTTTTTGAAGTAGATGGTTTTGTACCTGGAAGCAGACATTTATTTCTTCTGATTCTGGGTTTAGGGTTGATGCTGAAGGCACTATGGCATAAAGGGTCTCTATATAAGGCATAAGACTGCCTTCACAAAATAAAAACACACTCAACTATCAGCATGAAGAATAGAAAACTGTTGACTCTTCCCAAATCCCCTCACCCTATCTTTGACAATGTTTATAGTGGAAATAGAAAGTCATGCCCAGGGATACAATAGAGAGGTAGAGGACTCATTGCCTCTACAGGCAACAAAGGGCTTGAGAGTGGTATGGGAATCCAACCAAGAGCAGTGTACTGGCACATATCCAGTGGTGAGTTGGTAGCATTTGAGAAAGAAACCAAAGGGTTTTTGAAATACAGAAAAAGTGCTGTGCATTACTCTGAATATGTTTTGTTAAATGCTGTATGAACTTTGGCTTAGTGGTTTGATTTTAATATATCACATTAAACCACTGGAGACTATTAAAATGTAGCAAATACATACCAGGTGGTATGGTTTTCCTGTGCAAACAATTATGTTGGAAATAACTCCCTGCCTTTTGCCAGTAGCCTTACGGTTTATTCTCTGCAAGCCAAGTTTAGAACTAAAACTTACAGTTGTAGTCTGAAGTATTCATTAAATTATTAAAATTGTGAAAAAGCAGAGAAGGCAGAGACGAAGGGATAAGAAAGGGATGTGTCCTACCTGAGGCTCACAGTAAGTACATCACAGCAACAATATCTGCCCTGGAATCCTAGAAAGGGAGACAGCTGGACGTGTTTGGTGGCAGTTTGCTCTTGTTCTCTGTTATTCCCTGCTTAAAATAGCTGCTTGCTGAGGTCTGTGTAGCTCTGGGATAATCTTATTATAGTGGATCCAACTCATAGCTAAGCACACTTGTCCCATTTCTCATGCAGGCTGCAGCAGGCTATGCTGTACACGGGGGGATGAAGAAATCCATGGTATGAGGCATGAAGAAATTTGTGGTATGGCCACAGAACTCCAGAGCAACCAAATTACAGCAGTTTACCAAGTTTCCACCTATTAAGTTATACTGAGCAGTTATAATAATTCACGTCTGCTCTGAATTTTTACAGCGTAAAGAGATTTTCATGAAGTTTCCATCACCTAAATTAAGCCCTCATGGCACCATGCAAAAATTTACAGATTTTCTTCATCTTTGCCAATGTGATGACTTTGGATTGTAATAAAGCAAGCTCCAGTCAACTTAGTTACCTTTTAATTCTACAGAGTGTGGCTAAGAGTGTGAAGTACCTCAGAGCTTTGAAGATTT